AATCGATAGTTATTAAAATACATACATCGACAGCCCAACCGATGGATCGATAATAAACTAGTGTTGACTAACATCATACTTAGTTCTCAAAAGCTATCGAGCAAAATGAGAATGCCAAAATTTTGTATTCAACTGCTACGCCTCGTGCTTTTTGTTCTAAAGTCAATTTTGATATTTTCGTAAGTTATTCAAAAACCGAGAGAACGTGAGAGAACAAAATAWCGTTAAGGTGTTTSATTATTTTTTGCTTTTGTTTTTGTTTTGTTTTGCTTAATATTCTATATAGCAAACGTTTAAAGAAATCCATGGATAATTTCAAGGACGCAGTATTTTCCAATTATATGGCGAACCAAACTGGCGTCTCCGATGGCAAAGAGATTCAGCAGTCCGGGGGCACTAATTTGTTGATCAACTATTTGCCAAGCGACATGCAGGAGAATGAGCTCCACCAGCTGTTCAATAGCTTTGGCCTACTGCGGCAGGTGAAGATCATACGCGACCCGGAGACAGGAGCCAGCCACTGCTACGGCTTTGTCAACTACATCAACTCCATAAGTGCCAACAAGGCTCTGGACTCGATGAACGGCTGCCCAGTGCGCGGCAAGAAGCTGAAGGTCTCGATGGCTCGTCCCTCCTCGGAAGATACTAAGAAAACCAATATCTATGTGGGCAATTTGCCACTGAGCTACGATGCGGCGCAGGTGCGCGAGATATTTGAGCGCTTTGGCAAGATAGTTGATTTGAACCTACTCAAGGATCGGTACACCAACCAGTCGCGGGGCACTGCCTTTGTGCGCTACGAGATGAGGGCCTCGGTCGAAAAGGCTATATTRGCYCTGAATGACTTTGTTGTGGAGCGTGGCCATCCACCGCTGCACGTCAGATTGGTCAAGCGCCCCAAGGAGTGGGCAGCGTCCAAGGGCWTGAATCGGGWGCCCGWCGAGCCATCGGAGCCAGCTATGGAACCCCCATCGATGGCACAGCCCTCGACTGATACTCACGTRRACTCSCCGAARGACAAGATCAAACCATCCATGGATTCGAAACGTTTCGTTTTTGGCGATATGGACAAGTCAACGGCTGATTCAACGGCAGCTTCCTCATCGAAGCCCATGTCATCTCTCAGCTACAAATACTTAACGAACATCAACTCCAACAAGGGTCGTCGCT